ACGAAAATTGCCATATATGGTACCTCTGAAATAATATATATTGTATATACATGGGCTTATACCACTCTAAGTCAAATTACAGTTGTATAACATGGGTCTATAACAACGATATATAGTGGAGAGTGGTATATCGTCATCGTATACACTCCACCGTATACCACTGTAGAAGTGCATTCTGGGAACTAATGAATATAGAGCGAAGAACAACGTGTATGTTTTGTTACACAGACTGTTGTGTCCCTCGAATGAGCGGAGCGAATGAGGAGTTCCGACGCTCCAAAATTTTCATGATTTCCTAGAATCAAGTGACGTCTTAAATGGTTCCGGCATGATTTTCTAGAATCAAGTGACGTCATAAATGGTTCGAGATCAACATCGGCATTATTGAGTTGGCTATGTGATATTTTTATGGTTTTTAATCGTTATGATTGTGTTCGAATCAACTGTAGTTGAACTTAGCGTGGCATAATAAGATTATATAATGATTCATTCTGTATATCGTGCATTTTATACTCTCGTGAGAATATAATATATTCACTCGTTCGCTACGCTCACTTGTGAATATATCATATACTCACTCGAGTATAAACACGATATACAGAATGAACCATTATATAACCTCATAATACATATATAGTGTTATATATCATTTTAAAGCATATGACATACTCGTTCAGAATGAACAGTTTTTTAAGTCCCATTTTATAAGTTGTCATGGTTACAAGATTCCCCCAAAAATACATTGGGTTTGTGCTTGGACTTGATATCACGTCCTTAGTAGTCAACGTATGTGCTTTATGACGTCATATCACGTCCTTAGTAGTGAATGAGTTATAGCAGATATCTGCAAAATGTATTGTGATTCATGAAATGAAGGAAGAGTTAGTCTCAGGTGATGAGCAAGGGTTACTAAATCTGCACATAGCCATCTTTTAGATAGATAGATATCTCTCAGGAGCTTTGTGTAAACTAAGTAAAGCAAGAGCTTTTCAGCCTTTTGACTCCCATACAATGTTCATATTACTTCCTGCGAAAGCTATGTGGATTTTATAATAGTGAGCCATAAGTTTCAAAATCTAACATGGCTCTCGAAATGAGTAACACATACCCATTTTAAGCCTATAAATAATTTTTAGGATTTAAATATTCATCCCGGATATAGAATGCAATTAAAGTAGTAATTGATAATAATTGATATTCTTGACGGGTGTAATATTTATAATTTTACAATTAAATATAATTAGATATTTATTATATTTTTCTCATAGCAAGTAGCACCCATTAGTTCACAAAAAAACATCTATCAATACTAAGCCTCTGAGATAATATCCTGCTTGTCTGGATATAATGTGTATTCAGGAAATGGCACATCAAATATGCTTTTAATCTTTCACAGCATTAAGTGTTAAAATGAGACAATTAAGTCAAATCATAGTTTCAAAATAAATCCTGTTATAACAATTGTTGGCGATTTTTATAATGGATAATGTTTTAAGGTGGTTTTCAATGTGATGGTAAAAATTTGCCGATGCTCATGATTAAATTCCATGAGAAGTTTGCTGATTGTTTTGTGATTTGCTATTGGGACTACTCTTCGTCCAATCTTGACCTTAATGTTGCGGGGGATAAGGTAAAACTCTAATTAGGTTTGTCGCATAATCAATTTTTAAAACGGACGCAACTTTCAGTTTGATAAAGGTAGAGATTAAAAGGTGGATTGGATCGAGTAGATTGGATTCATGTAAAAGGTGGATTGTATCAGGAATCTTCAAAATATAGAATTTCTTTCTTTTGATTTTTTCTGTTAATTTTCCTCTAGCCATTTCCATCTATAAAATATTGAGTCCCTTTGAGAAATCAGAACAAAGCAAAGACAAAGACATACTCTGATAAGATGATGAATACTCCTAAGTATTCAACTGCTTTCCCTTGTAAACCTACCTTTGTAAGACATGATAAACATAGATCTGTAAATAAAAGCTGTCATTCAAATTGATGTGCGAATGTTCTAAAACAATGTCTGCTACATATGTATGTTCTGATTGGTCTGAAAACGGATGATATGGATCTTCAAACCAGTCTATCTATGATGTATGAAATGTCCTTAAAATTACACTTGGAATGAATAAGATACTGTATCATCCTTCTAGACCACCCAAGCAAAATAATATTACATCTTTTATTTGACATTATGGAAGTGAAGAGAGGACCCATCTTCTTAGAGGGAGATCAATAGATTTTTTAAGGAAAATCCATATTTTGAAGATTCCCGATCCAATCCACCTTTTACATGAATCCAATCCACTCGATCCAATCCACCTTTTAATCTTTACCTTGATAAATGTTCATTTTATAATATATATTTCTATTCATGGGGGTCTACTCAACAATACTCTTTATAAATAATTCTTTGGTATCCAATTAGACTAATATGCATTTGTTAACACTCATATCAAGTTTAAACTCCCATCAAAGTCCATGAAAGCTACAAAGAATTGTGGATGATTTTAACCACATATGTCTTGTATCAAGACTTCAAATGAGGGTGGCAGCCCGAATTCAATATAGGATAGAAAATCCGAGTACATTGAATCATCCACAATGCATGGAGTCGTTTCACAGATTGCAAAAGAATTTGTACAGTATCACTTATAAGAATAATAAAAATGACTTTTTGCAAGGAAGGAAGTTTCACTTATTACTATTTATAGGTTTTCTCTCAACTGTCAACTTGAAATTATGCGAGTGTTGAGGGTAATCAGTTTCACTGAATCTAGAAATAGCCATGCACTCTATTGTAAAATTAAGAATGCAGATTATTCTAAATACTATGTTCTAGAAAGTCGCTGGACTTTAATATATCATGCCAATGCCAAGCTATGTGTGAATATCAGTTAACAGTCAGAGGAATGTGGTTATCCAATGGAGGTTACATACACATAAGTTTGCAGGGACACATATTTCAGACTGAACTTTCAATAGTTACTAAAGATACACAAGAGAATATTTTACATCTATCATTTTCTTTATTCTTTTTATAGAACTTCTTTCTATACATTTGGCTGCATAACTATGCATTCAAATTACACTTATGGGCTTACATATTTCTTGACACTTTTAAATCATATTTAAAACTTCCAAGACATTGTATTATAAGATAATAGCCCAAAGTGTAAGCATTTCATTATCTGTAAAACACTGGTGTGAAGCTTTGACATCACATTATGTCAGTATGACATCTTATTATGCCATTGTTTAGAGATAAGATAAAACATCTCTTTGTTAAGCTATGACATCACAAATGCTACTGTGTGTAGTTTGCGAGGCATAATGTCACAAATATATCGACAAATGTCATAAATTCACACCATTATTCTTCACATTTTTACAATAAATATATAGCTCTGAACACAGTTTGTGAAGGTACTCCAAGTATGACATCAAAATACTTGTATTAATAGGGTATAAATACATGTACAAAAAATATTCAGTTTGAGGTCAGTGGTGATGTTGTTCAAGTTGGTTGTTTTATGGTTGTTCAAGTTGGTTGTTTTGTGTTTTGGTTGTTCATAAACATACATAGCATCAGTATTCTACACAATGTGAATGCAGTAACTGACAAAAAATGATCTTGAAAATGAAAATCATCATTGGCCTAAATCTGTATAACATGTCTACATAGAAAACATGAGTATTCTCTACTTAAACCTAAATGAAGAGTGCGTAATGGAGAATTCAAACCTGGTATTGTATCACCTGTATCTAGGTCTATTGGAGATGAGGCAATTTGAACAACTTTATTAAGATACCATAGTACATGTATGTATGTACAGCAAAATACAATGTCTTTTATGAACTAAAATAAAACTGAAATAAAAACACAGGAGAAAACAGACAGGAAAGACAAAATATTGCTATGAACTAAAATTGGTTTTTCAGTTCTTCTTCAATTTCTCATGTTTTTCATTTCATAAGAAGCTACTGTACTGTACTGAGCTCTACCATGTTGTACATGTTGTATATTGTTTTGGTTTTGATTAATGCAAATGTTACATGGCAAGCAAAACAAAGTACATGTACATATATGTGAAATAGAAAACATGAGTTGAACTTCAAATGAATGATAAGCAGTTTCATTATTTCTTTGCATAATGTATTGCGGAAGATAGCGACTTTGCAAATGCATACACACTAGATGCATGAATTTTTGCATAATAAATAATAAAGCCTCTGGCATAGAAATTGTTGCAATGAGTGTGAACATTTAGTCTAATGCTTTGATGAATTTTGATATTAAAATCTGCATAAAGTCATTATTGCAACCAAAGAAGGTAAAAAAATATAATCATTAAAAGCTCATTAAAACCTAATTTAGAAAATGCATTGTACACTGTGACACCCACTAAGTATAATTGATAAAATTAAATTGCTTTGCATTTTATAACATTGATTACAAATGTATTTTACAAATAAATAATTATATGTTGTCAGAAGTATAAACCAATTGTATTGCTTGAAAATTCAAAAAATATTCTATTATGATATCCCACATGGTAAATTATGACATCATCTTTTGAGGAATAAGTGATATTTTTGCATTTAAAAGTTGTACATTATTGTTCGAAAAGTTATTTAAATTCAAAAATTTTGTAACAAAATATTGAACCAATTGATGTTTCTCACTTAATATATAATATATATATAATATCTATACATATCTCATTATGTACAAACTTTTCTACATTTATATAAACTTTTTACTTATATAATTATATAACAATAATATTTAGTAAATTGTACAAAATTTTCAGGTAATTTGCAATTGTTTTAGATGCCTTTCACTGGACAACACAAAACATAATCTCTAATTTTGGCAGTATGTTAATTTTAACACTTGTATTCATGATATCTCTAGTATGTGCCCATATATGGCACATGCAACCATATATGATACATGTGGCAATATATGGTACATTTTCAAATATATCACTCAACATCACAATATAATATAAAAAAAAGTTTGTTCCACACTCCTTCATGTAAAAATCATAAGTTCTTTGCACTTATCCATTGTTCTCCAAGTTGATCAATGTCCAATAGAGACCTCCATGACTTCGTTAATTGTCTCTCCGCACATGGAGTGCCCTGACCCGTGTAATTAGCACATAATCAATAGTTATCCAGTCGCATAGCAACTAAATTCCCTGCCATTGATAAAATATATAGAATTTGCACATTATATGGCATAACTTAAAAAAGCGAACTGCAACAAATCATAACAGTTTCTGCCTGGCTAGCGCCAGCTAGCTTTGTCACTACTAGCTCCCTCTATAATGCATCACACTTTGAAAGTTCGTTCTGGCATCGACTTTGTTCGTGATGACTGGTCATAGATGGTGGCTCTGGGGTATTATAATTGAATGGCGAGTCTCTGGATTGATGAGTGAATGATATGCCTACATTCTGATAATGTGAATGTTCAGGTTTACTATGGGAATTTGGAGAGGATAGCGTCTCTGATGACCTTAATGGTCGCCGCGCCAATGATGATAAAGATGAGTGATAGGTGGGGTTACTTGATGCTTGAGGCTCTTCTGCTGCTGCAAACAAAAATACAGAAAATTATTAATTATTATTCAAATTTCAATTTTAGTAAAAGTGAGAGGTTGAGTTGACTTGGGTTGAAATGACCTGTCACCAATGTGAAGTTATAAACAATAGACACTGGTTTTGTTTTATATTATTCTATCACATCCATATACTGTTACAATTCTTTCAGGATATAACTGTTTCTCACCTTTATGAGATCTATGTGGTGTATGTAATAAATTGGAGGTGTTAATTCTATAAGGAAATAACTGTTGCTCACCTTTATGAGATCTATGTGGTGTGTGTAATGAATGGGAGGACTGACTTTGTTCAGGGGATTTACGTGGAAAAGTGGCACTGGATATATCTGTATAACAGTCTTCGCCTGAAAATAATAAACAAGTCTGATTAGTATTTGTTACAAAATGAACGTGATACCCCAAAATAAAATATATTATGCAAACACATTAGCAAGATTTTAGAAAAGTGGACAATATATCGCAATCATAGTTTTACAATTAGTTCTGTTTTTCTTGCATGAGGTGAAATTAATTTTCATATCACATGTATGTATCTTTAATATATTGAGCATAAAATAAATTATTATCTTATAAGGCGAAATCAATGTACTTACCAGTGCCGGGAGGTTGAGAGTTTTGTGTATGAGGTGTGCCCAATATGTGGGATGACCTGTTGTCACTGTTGATATATACATGACTATGTGGTGCTGTTGATAATGAGGTATTTTTTCTACATGGAGCATTATAATGCACTTGTTCTTGCTTCAGGGTGAAATACGCCGGAGGCCCATCCCCTGGGGATTCTGGGAGCCGGTCGTGATTGGTAGGATAGGGGTGGAATGTCTGTAAATGGGGGCCGCAACTTTGTACGCTATTGTGTGATTGGAAGCTGCTCATAGTGTCCGAGTTACCAGGCATTAGACGCTGATTTAGAGCTGTGATGCTATCATCTGGAAAAATACAAGAATGAATCTCATTAATTTTATTTTCCTCCTTTCGAACAAACGTTATTTCTAACTATTTTTTTTTTCATTTGTTTCATTTTTGTTCATGCATTCTTATAAGGTAGGTTAGCTGATCCATGAATAATGACAGTGTTTTGACATACCTGACACCCTTGCAGTTTGCTGCTCATCTAGGGTTAGTGGGATTGACTGGCGATGATCATCATCATCTACATCACTAGGGAATATAGCTGCTGTGCGGGGCTTGGCGATACTGCCGAAGCGATATGGAGATTCTGTACCTGAAATTGATGAACCTGAAGCCGACCCAGAGCCAGAGCGAGACAGGTTTTTATGCGATGATGAAGTTGAGTGAGACTGGGGCAAGATACTAGGGGATATACGGCCAGATTTGCCATATGTGGTAGTTGTCATTTCACCAGGAAGGGTGGTCTCATCAGTAGGTGTGCTACTGTATTCTTCAGGCTTCTTGCGGGTCTGGTAGATTATGATCACCCACACTAATGATGTCCCAACGACACAGCACACCACTGCGATTATGATAATCCCTGTTGTGGTTGACTCATCATCTAGGCCTGCAGCGCTAACATGTGGCCGTGATTTAGTAGGCAGTACCCTCAGGATGGTATCATCCCTAGATGTACCCAGAGTGTTTGCCATCTCACATGTGTATTTCCCTGCATCCCCAGGGCTGGTCTGAACGATCACTAATAACTGGTTGTTGGTGGTGAAGAAATGTCTGGGCGTCACTTCTAATGGTTTGTCATCTTTCTGCCAGGTCAGCATGGGTTTAGGTGACCCTGATGCCATACACTGCAAGACTGTGGTCTCTCCCTCTTTTGAATGCATCTCTGATGGCATAGGTTTGAAGAATGATGGGGTCTCTGTAATTACACAATTGAAAATAATGAAATATACATGGGGGCAGATATTTGTGTTTTCTTTTCTAACTTAAGAATGAGAGCATAGAATAACTGAGCTTCTGCAATTAGTTTATTCTAATTTAAAGCTAAATGGTTTCCAAAAATGTTTATCTTGTAAATTAAAATATTTCTTTCAACATGTATCCCATTATCTCCCAAAGCAAAAGTTTAAACTTACCAAGTACAGTGAGTGTTGCATTGACGATGATGCTGCCTGCAGCGTTGGTTGCAGTGCAAGAGTAAGTCCCTTCGTCACTACTCTTCACCTCCACTATGAAAAACACATCATCCTCAGGCATCACATGCATTCTGCGCTCACGGGCTGCTGGGAAGTCATCACCTCCATCTTTCTGCCAGGCTATCTCAGGTCCAGGTGAGCCTTTAGCAGCACACTCCAAACGTGCTGTTGATCCGGCCTTTACAGTCACGTCAACAGGCTTCTTGGTGAATACTGGGAATACATGGACGGCAATCTTGGCCTTCGAGCTGTATGTTGGCCCAAAGCTAGTGGATGATACGACGCATTGGTATTTTCCAGAATCATTGTCTTCGATTTTACTAAGGTGTAGTTTAGTTGTGTAGTGGATGATATCTTTAGCTGATGTTGACGCCTGTGCATTTGTTGTTGCGAATGTCTCAATATTGGCATTGGGAATTGGCTGTAAATAGCATTATCATAAATTGTATAAGAAAGAAACAACAAGCTGGAAAAGATTCCAATGAATGTACAATGCATTTACTTTAGATAATTAATTTGTGTGTTTGGCATGTTATAGATCCATTATCCAAAAAGACTTTGTATAATTGGGCAATTACAATAGCTCACCCATTTAAGTAAATAAATAAGTGGTATGGTTTGCTACATCTCAAGAAAAAACTTTTCAGACACTATGACAAAACTTGCACTCAATATAATACATTTCTTGATATCCCAACACAAATACACATTCACCACTTACAATATTATCTTTCTTCCAGCTGAACTTGATGGTTGTCTCTGCGCTAGATGCTGCCTTGCACGTTAGGGTTAAATTCCCACCTTTTAACGCAATACCAGATGTGGGCTCCTCGATGATGATTGGCTTAGGGAAGTCGTCACATTTGAACTCTGTTGCATCAACGGCAAATATGCTCTTGCCCTTAAGAGTGTTAGGGTGGCCACAACGAGCGTTCACAGATTCCCTGAAGCCACTGGAATCTAGCCACTGAGGGAGCCAACTGAGCTGACAGTCACACAACAGATTGGTCGAGTTTAAACGTCTGAAATGTACAAGTTACAAAATGAATTAGGACCCAGTAAAATCTTGTAATCTTATACATTGGTATTATGTACCAAAATCTCTTACAGTAAAAATAAATATAAAGCATTCTCTATGAATCCTTAATATAAAGATTTCTTTTTGATGAAATAACTGAAATCACTTACAAGTCAGTGAGACGCTTCATTGGATCAAATGCATTACTCTGTATAGAGCTGATGGAGTTATCGGAGAGATGAAGCTGTTTCAACTCCTCAAGGCCAGAGAATGCACGTTTGGCGATAGATTTGATCTTGTTGCTATCCAACCCAAGCTGCCTGAGCTTCTTAAGACCAGAGAATGCCCCGTTCATATCCTCTATTGTCCATGATATTTCATTGCTATTCATTTCCCTGTAATATAAATGCGCACATAAAAACCTAGAAATTTTTGTTTAAAATATAGCAAGTTAAAACATATGCTACATACATATACTAGATATACTAGTAAACAAAAAATGAGTTAATCAATTAACTCAATTTTCACACCTTACTCATTGGAAATATAAGTGAACACTGTACATAAAATGTGAATCATTTTTAGCGTAGCAATATATATATAATTTTGTCATAACCTTAACTAAGATTGCCAATTGACTTCAATATACAGAATGGATCGTGTATGTTTCACTTACAATATTTCTAGGGCAGTAAGGCCTCTAAAGGCACCATCAGCAATGGAGTAAATCTTGTTATGGTTCAGGTAGAGATTCTCCAGGGCTCCCAGGTGATCAAAGGCACCCTCTTGAAATGATGTCAGTTTGTTGTGGCTCAGATCACTGAAAACACATTGAAATATATTGTATGGACTGTTCAAAATATTTTCTAGTTGCTTCTATATTAATCAATACACTGTTTAAAGAGACATAAAGCATCACCACACCCTTATTTTAATACATTATTAACATGGCATGTCTCAAATTTTCCCAAATTAAAACATTTCTTTATCTATTCTTTAATATATATATGTATTCTCTTATGCATGACGTTTCCATGGTTAGTAAATATGAATAAAGTGGACTTGAAATTGAATACTTACAGTTCGTGTAGTTTCTTGCAGAAGTTCCAGGCATTACTATCAGTCTTGTTGATCAGATTATGAGACAGATAACTAAAGCAAAAAAGATGTAATTTGTTAGTATACAATTTCAATTTATTTATTCAACCAATGTAAGGGTATAAGGTACAAGAAATAAAACTGCAATCTGAATGTGTAGTATATTTCTACATTAATTATGTCAAATTAATTCTCCAAAAACACATCAATTCTGATACATTTATATTTATTTTTCAATACTGTATTACATGTAAAATGTATAAAATCAATTTGGTAATGTAAAAACTGGCGCCAAGAGGATATACTTTACACTTATTTTAGATATTATAAGTTTTTCCAAGTCAACTCCCACTGTGCTAGGAAATGAGAAACTCCAGAATTTCATTACAAAATCTCAAAGTGACTTACTGGGGGTAATATGTCAGGGATCTAATATCACTACCAATAAACCAAACACTAATGAGAACACAGTTTATGCTGGCACATCTATTAAAAATTCTGAGGTTAAAATTGCACATGTTATTCTGAACACAAGTCAGAAATACCTCCCCCCCCTTCCCTAGAGTTGTCACTAATGAGGATGCACCTGGAATTGACCTCTAGTACCATGGGTATACTTTTCACGCTGACCACAAAGTCATCCTGGTTTAACAGATCCGGTTTCAAACAACACAAACATTTCACATATGTGCATGCTAATCATCCTCCACCAGATGCCACTTGTGTATTTCACTGGCAAGTAAACAGGTAAAGATTACACAAACTAGTTCTGAAACCTACCACCAGATGCCACTGGTGTATTTCACTGGCAAGTAAACAGGTAAAGATTACACTAACTAGTTCTGAAACCTACCACCAGATGCCACTGGTGTATTTCACTGGCAAGTAAACAGGTAAAGATTACACTAACTAGTTCTGAAACCTACCACCAGATGCCACTGGTGTATTTCACTGGCAAGTAAACAGGTAAAGATTACACTAACTAGTTCTGACACCCACCACCAGATGACACTGGTGTATTGTTTGAAGCAGACGGAGACACCTGAGAAAACTAACATCCCAATGTGAGGCTTTATGGTGTTTGATGTATCAAGAGGTACTGACACATACTGAATTAAAAATAGACATTTTTAAGCTCAAGACATTGTTGATCACCTGAGAAAGCAGGATATTTGGACAAGAAAGCCACAAGTAAACATCTCACATCGACAAAGAGACACCATGTGGACTTAGAGATCACCAGTTGAATTTGAACTTAAACTTTTTCTGATCTTTTAATTCTGTTTTAATGGTGCCACCCAGTTTGCAACTCTGATGACGTGACAATTTATCCATATACCATTTAGAAGTTGATCTAGGAAGTGTATGAAACAACACTGTGATCTTTAAAAATGTGTCATCCAACAAAACAGCTATTTGCACACTTTGCTCCCTGGATATGGGACATCTAAAACCAGTGGAAGAAACACAAAAGATGGCTCTAGATAAATGCAAGCCTCTTTAATATGTGTATGCTGGTGTATACTTACAAATGTGTCAGTGTTTCGAGACCATACAGCCACTTGTCTGAGATAGTTGTTATACTGTTGTAGTCTAAATGTAGTTGCTCAATGGATGACAGACCATAAAAAGCGCCATCGTTCAGTTTTGTGATCTTGTTACGACGAAGGCGAAGACTCTTCAATTTCTCCAAACCCTTAAACGTCAGACCACCAAGCTCTTTGAATTTGTTGCGGTTTAACTCCCTGAAAAATATAACACAAAAATTATTAGACAACATGTTTCATTAACCTTAATGCGTTAGGCCACATTAACCTGAAGCGCCATCTATCAAATAATAAAACATGACAACAGCAACAGAACAAAACATTGAATCAAACAGTGTCCCGCAACAACCTATGTTTTTATCGTTTTTTTATGGGTTACTTAATGGATATTATCATAGTCACATTAAACAGTATATTACAATTCTGACTTCAGTACCTCTGTATTTTCCTATCAGGTGTTACCATGGTAATAAATGTGTGTATCTCTAGTGTTAAATAGCTATGTATCATTTAACACAATGCAACAATAATAAAAGTAACTTGCTCGAATAATTTATACATATCATAATCCAAAAATTATAACATAAAAATCAGAACCGTTTTTCCATTTTCAAACCAGTAATGAGAAAATAAAAATGAACAGTATGGGATCTGAGTAGGCTTGTGTAATTACTGCAACTAATAGAGTGTTATTAGAGGCTGTTATGGTGTAAATTATCGTCAATTGTGGCCTTATAGTCGATGACTTTACAATATATCAAATTAGATTACTTCCTGGTTTTAGAAATTATAGAAGACAAAATAAATCAGATCTTCAGCTAGCAATGAAAGCCAAACATTACACGAAGAATAAATGCTAATATAAAAGCATGTAATCAGTAAAAACCTCTCCCCGATAATAAATCAGAGAGATTAAGCCTACAACTGTAATTATTACGAACCCACAAATGTCATTAGAAACAAAAGTGAAATACTTGATGTTATATCTAAGAAATGTCTATTAGGAACGCCAGGGTATTTTCTTCGGTTTATTCCATATACACAAGAACTATTGATTATTTTGTTTTTAATAACATTTTAGTTAATAAATCAAGGATTTGCTATATTTTAGATGCACTTCATGCTCTACTGAGTGGAAATCACATATTGTTAGTGAGATTTCTCTCCTTAACACCAGGATCTTAGGCATATTTTTACATAGAATTCAATGGAAGATTACCAGTGCAGATATGTTAATAATTACGATACGACCTCTGTATCAAGAACGTGAATTATCCACATTAGCAGTATTAGTAACCAGTTATATTTTCTATGTTGTGAAATCCCAAATGATTTGATTCAATATCTTTGTTGAAGTCTAGAACTTTGGGAAATAACAGAAAGAGCGGGCAATTCCAGGCAGGCATGTTTTGAGAAATTAAGGCAATGCCTTTGGCGATTACATGTTCCAATTTGTCAGAGTCATAACATTAATTGTATTACTTCATTTCATAATTACCATTACACCATATTATAACAATATTACTTGACATTTACTGAAAATTACATAATAAACGAACCAGCAATGAGCCGAGAGAAAAAGAGTGCTAATATGCAAGTCCAAAATTTACAAAATCTGGTGTACTCACAGATATTTTAATTTTGTTAATTTGATGAAGAACTCTTCGGGCAATTTTGATATCTTGTTCTTGTTCAGTTTGAGCCACAGTAGACTGGTTAGGTTATCCAAGGCATGTGGTTCTGTCTTGTTGATCTTGTTATAGCTCAGAGACCTGGAAACACAAAATTATACAAAATGCATTACATATTTGTAAAGTGAAAACACCTGTGCCCCCTCCCTTATACAGCAGTAGAGGTACCTAAGGAAGGAAAAAAGCTATGATTATGCTATATACAGGGTGTCCCAGAACTCATGAGAATTTTTCGAGTCTACATAACCTAAATCAGTGTTAAATTCAACCATAGTAATTGATAATTCCATTTGTAGGGTTAGGGCATTGAGCAGTTGTATAGTTAGCCATGATATCTGATTAATGTTTTGTCAGGTTGCTCTCATCTCCAAACACAGTTCCAAGAGTTAGGTCCTATGCCAGCATTATTTTTGAAGAAAGAGAAACTGACCAGGATTTTCTTTATAAATTCAGCTCTAAAACAGTAAAATATCAACAGATCACAATGAAAGATAACCCTGAAGAATTTCAAAAATGTAAGAAAAAGTCTGCCTATGAAGTTTTTGGGAATATCCAATAAGTCGTACAAATCGGAGGATTCATTTGCAAGGGCTATAGTACTGACTAAAGCTAAGCTATGATTATTGGTGAATGCCAAACTCAAACTCTCCACACATTTGATAACACTGAGATTATAGCATTAGTGCACAATTTACACCAACACTTATCAGATAGTTCCAATGAAATAGCCTTTAAGTGCAACTGGATTGAATAAAGAAAAACAAGGTGATTCAACACGATTTTTTTAGGTTAATAAGACCAGCATTTTCACTGCATAAAATATACTGCCTGTTAACTACATTTCATGGATGTTAAATAATTTTTTATTTCCTCTAAAATAACATTGTGGATTTAGACATAGGCCTACTTATAATTGTATATCAGCCATTTATAATATTCTATTTGTAGTAGAAAATTCACAGTGTTTGGAATTTGCAGCCAATATTGAATATTCAATCCTGAGGAATTGATTCTTTCTGCTTAATTCAACCTTCGGTGTATTGTTTATATGGAATGATTCTATTGTAGCAGTCACACAATGAAAACATTGCCACTATGGCACAAAGTACAGAGCTTGATCGAAAGGAGATGGCCAACATTATGTCAACATCTCTATTTAAAAGAACAGGATATTTTCATTGTGACTATTTTTAACGATACTGTGCCGACATTCTGATTTTCTTGGAAAATAACAACTATGTATCACTGTAATATGGGGAAAAGAGGGGGGGGAGGGACACATTTTTTGTGTGACTAGGATTAAGAACAAAACAAAAATGGCTATGTATGAAACTGATGATATAGTTAAATAAATGAAAGTTGAAATACATGTTCAGGACAAAACATGTCCAGATGTAAAACAAATAATTGTGTTATACTACCAAATAACACCACAAAGAAGTTATCCAAGAAATAGTTGCGCCCTTTCTAAAGAAATAGATTTAACATAGATCAAACATATCGAAGGACGATTTCTCCTTGATTAAGTCCCAAAATAAACTATACAGAATTTACTTGAAATTACAACATGTTTCACTGCATCATGTAATATCATTGATTTGCCTTTATTTAATATAAACATGTGCTGAACATATTGATGTTTAATATGACTCTTAGGTAGTATTGCGAATTTAACTTTCAACTGCCTGCTGATGGTTTTACCTACTTTTTAAGGCCAACTCGTTTAAATATGAATGGAATACCATATAAGAAACTCTTGCATTAAGCCCATAAAGACTTTATGCAAGAGTTTCTTATAAACCCTATAAACTTAGGTTTTCATTATTTAGGATACATAGCTTGTATCAATTATACAAAGGATGGGTAGAGCAGTTGATTTGGACCAATCCTTGTCCTTGAAGTTGAAATATAACAGAGCTACTGAATCGTTAACTACATCAAGCTTCATAACTATAACATGTGTTCAATTTAATCGTATCACCTAATTGCAATATATCATTACTGAAAAAGATTATCAAAATATTTTGATTGGATTTCAAGCGCCACATCTGAAGTAGCGAATGTATTGATCGCAGCTCTTGTTGGAATGGTGTTATTCTTATAAATATTAATACATTGATATAAATTCACTTTGATAAATGCATTGATACTTCAGAAACATCAAATATGAATGAGAATTGAGATAATTTCATCTTGATACACTCATTAATAACAAGTACCGTTAATTATATGAGCCTTGGGAGAAAGTCTACACGATGGTGGTATACCCGAGTTGTCGGTTCAACATCGTCAACTTTAGAAATGTGTCAATAATGCATGTATTGATCAACAATTTACAACAGAGGGAACTCCAGTAGATGTGAAGATGACATGCACATCCGAAGAATCATTTGAGACATTTTGTTGCTATGAAAATCATACTATGGTTACCACAATCGTAACCATGGTTACAACATTGACTAATTCAATTGTCTCCTAAAGGAGCAGACTCCCATATAAACAATCTTAAAACTATATATCCATACCAAAGATTATAATACTTACAGATGGTGCATTTGAAGACCAGCTGGGAACATTCCAACAGACAACTTGGTGATATTGTTATATTGTACATGCAGCTCACGCAATTTCTTCAAACCATCCAGCGCACCAGGAGGGATTGTGCTAATACTGTTGTGATTCCTGAAACAATCAAAAATAGACCACTGACTAGACTTATCTTTATTTAAAAAGGTCTACAGGGTGGGCAAAAGATGTTACCCAATGTATAATCAGAATGGGTAACATTGTATTGGCTCACCCTTTAAAAAACAGTGAAAATTCAGTATAGTTAGAGTTGATTTGACTTTGTTTAATATCTGAAATAAGTAGTATTTTTAGTTCATATACATATAATTTGATTAATTACATATATGAAGCTCTGGTAAGTTACCTGTTACATTTCCTGTGAATGGCTAAATAAAACTTAAGACATTTATCAGCACTGACTTGTCATATCCCAAGATACCTTTTAAACCCTCTTACCAGCTCTAATCGTATCACCTTATTCTATTACCAGATATAATTTATTGGATTTCCCATTGGCATTTTAGCTATAGATCCAACACCATAGAGTATTAGAGATTGTTCCAACTGTCATGTCTGCCATATCTAGTGTTACATCAGTCTCGTATCCTCTCCACATACGATCTATTTCTCACGTGCTTAAAGAAATGGATAAGGCACACAGGGGCCTGATGTAAGACTTCACTGAGTAGTGCCATCTACCGATAACTGTCGTCTATAACCTTGCTGTGAGCAGAAACACTACACTGCCTATTTTATAATAATAATGTTCTAACTAGAATAGGGGTAACTAGAATTGGGGTGAAAAAATAGAGAAATGAGCAACAGAGAAAATGTGGGCAATGCCACAAAAAACTTCAATTAAAAAATAAAGAACAAGAGGGAAGATTTCCAACACATAAGACCAACACACCAAAGGATAAGTACCCTAATCACCCAATGACACCCATTCTTATAGTAATTTGGGTACCTGATGAAGACATAGCTGTTGGTGTTAGTGGGTACTGAGCTATGTGTGATAGCACAGGGGAAGCTGATAGGGAGTTAGTTAGCCCAGAAGGTGTCAGCCATAATCCATGCGCTTCCACCATATTTGTGACATCCACAACATGGTAAAAGGGCAAGGTCTGAGGCTCTGTATATGTACATGTCAATCATACAAATCAGAATGGCCTTAAAACCGTAGATATCTGAAACAGGTTTTCTTCTAATATTCCAAACAATATACAATTGTATAAAACACACTGTAAAAACATTTCAAATCTCTGATTCAAGACAAAATTTGGACAATGAGTATAAGATCTTCATATTAGAAACATCACGGTCGATTGGCCAGGGTGGATCACATGACCTGGACTATGTAGGTCAATAGACACCTCCTTTGCTTGATGTCAAAGTGCTTCCTGGCATCACAGAGGCACTTATACTAGCTAAACATCTCTATATTTCCTCAGCTGTTGATTTCAACACATTCTCAATATGATATAGACCCATGACAGGCAAAAAAGAGGGAAGGCTCATCCAAAATATCTTCATACCGAGAGACCAAAAGTAGAATCGACCAATGAAATACTGCTCTTAAACCAGTACAAATTCAAACGTTTAGAGGCAACATTTCTATATCTATATATACAGTCAAGTTAAAGCAAAACCTGTAAGATTGATATTAATATTGACTTAAATTCATCCCAGTTTCTTGTACTAATCCATCTGTCAATCCAACACACGCATGATTTGCCTCAACTGTATGGGAATCTCAACATGTTTACTGTCATTTCTACAGTCATTTCCCTGCTATTTTTAAGCTGCTCTCTGTTTATTTAACTTTCACGTGGTAGTTTATTTTGTTTTAGTTTTTGCGCCTGCTGGCTAGCTATCTGCCAGGCGAGGGGGAGTTTGTTTGAAGCTGCACACTTGTTGTAATTTATCATTTAGCAAAACAGAACTTGTAAATATCACATATTGTTTCACACCTTGGCAGTATGCACATATACTAAATGCCTCTTATTGTGGTTAACATGAGACTCAATCAAAAGAAATCATTTTCATGTTTAAATCATATTTTTTGAAAGCTGAGGAATAAGGAAGAACTGATTCTTTGTTCATATCTCAAAAATGCCAGTTCAAATTTTTAAGATATTTAACCATGATCTTTCGAAAATAATAAAAGGTAGCACGGTGCATATTTCCAGTATGTAATTTAGAAATGATACAATTAATGACATTCAAGTGTGATTGATCTTGCCAAATATGTATCACAACTGTCAAAATGAAGAGCAATATTGACCGATTTAGGCAAAATGCGGCCACTTGAAGAGTGAAAAGTTGACCATTTCATATTGAGAACTGGCAGCTAGTTTATATGGAACACTTGAAAATGCATATACCTGTGACACTATTGCACTGTCATACAATAAAACGCACGGTAACATTTCAGTTATACATTCAAGTACATTCAGTATTTAATGGATTTTACAGTTAAAATGACCAGAAAATATTGTACCCTTGAAAATAATCAAGCACGATTCTTCCTTGATACCTCAAAAACAAAACAAAAATATATGCAGAAAAACATTTTCCTCAAAAAGACAAATATACACAAGGAACCTGATATAATCTCAGTTATAGAGCTGCAATAACATGAAGGAAATAAACACATATCCTGCATCCTGCAGGGAAGAGCAATAAAGGTATTCAATGGGCATTATAGATAGGCAATAAAATTCTGTATAGAGAGCAGTAGCCCAGCTGTTTGGTCTTCAGAACCTCTTAGACCATACATACAGTGTCTATGTGGTCATTCTCAATTTTCCACATGACAAACATTTAATTTTCTTTCATTACTATAGCAGAAGTACATCCATAGTTTATACAAGTACATATTGAGACAACTGACCCCAGTCAGTGAAATAAACCCTGGAGCGAATGTCGCACATCTAAAGACTGACCTCTGATATACATTCACAATCTGAATGTCATCTAGGCCTATAGGTCTCCCTGGTCATTTTATCTTGGCAAGACTACATGTAATGTTATTCACTGTATAAAGGGGAAAAATATACCTAGATATTTAGGATAGAGAAATCTATGCTCAATTTTGGAATGTTATGAATGAATTGAGCATTCATAGAATGATAGGCATGTATGAGATAAGTATCTATTTGGTATCAAATCCCCCATGTTAATTTGTAGAATCCCTGAGAATTCATGGTCATACAATATTTTTAGATCCTGTATATGTATATATTTGTTACATCTTGTTTTTTCACAAGCTATATAGATGGTAGAGATGCCTATTTGATATATCAACCATGTTATGTATACTCCAAGTGGTATCTATTCAGCTTGTATGATCTCTGTATTTCACAGCCTACAAGTGAGAAAATATATTTTTGTTTATAGCTGCCAGATACAATTTCACATTAATGTCTAAACAAACCAGTTAAAAATGGTTTCCTTCATGCTGAAAACACATTTCTCAACTTTCTTCCAAACTTCCAGATGCTTTCAGAGTTTTGTGATATTTGATGAAAAATTGGTTAAAGTGTCAAGTTTGCTGGCATCTCAAGTCAGTATATGATATGAATTTTGCATGTTAGGTGTAAAGAAGTTTAAAAAACCTAGTTTTACTTTTCTTGAAGAACTGAACACAAGTAGAATACAGATTGGATGATTCAAAGTCAAGCAAATAATTAAAATATTTTCATTCACCAAATCAGTTTATCAATTACAGTAAACCATCCCCACTTTCTTGGTCGGCCAACGAAAATGATTATAAAGTTTCAGAAAATACAATATACAGTCCAAGAAAACATGACCATCTTGGTTATTCCTTAAATCTCATCTTTCAAGATCGGGCTTCCCTGCTATAGCAGCAATTGAAAGAATTAAAACACCCTTGGACCAAGGATGGTAGAATCTTAGTCCTTGAGATTTCTGAATCTGATGTCTTAAACAAACAATGAAGCAATGGCAGGTATGTGGCAGTAAAAGGAAGGCAAGTATGAGATTCTAAACACAGATCTAATGAGTCTCAGCTGTACTCTTGCCCTGCATTTCTATTTTGCCAGCCTGAGTAAATATGTTTAATAACAACATGTGAACAACTGACCCAGGCACTACTGCCTTGAAACAAATTGCTTGAAACATCATATAGGAAAGTAAGATTCCTTTAGTACAGGTGACATACCTGAACAAAAACAACATTTCTCCCATTTTCTCCTGAAGGAGAGATCACTAACTCACTTTTCTGGTATATCAACAGTCAACACATAACGTATTGAACTAGCTCAACAATGTATAACTTATCCCCTGATATCAGTAAGATGATATAACATCTTTAGAACTTGGCAAACAAGGGAGGAATAAGCAATTAGTTAAGAGATAACAGATAAGCTGCATTTTGACAATTATCTCAAACAATTAATTAAACAATAAAATCGCATGAAATATCATATTCCTCACTTTACAGTGAGAACAGGTGAAGGGAGGACTTCATCAGAGGGTGCTCTTCAAATCTGGTATTGAGATCCTTTTGAGAGAGGATCCTCTTGTAAGGAGATTACTTAACATGCATCTCCTATCTTTGACCACCTTTCAGTCAATTTCGCTGATCATTGCAATCATTTTGCATGAATTTGGTAGTATTCTTTACCAGAAGATACGTTTACCAAAACTCTTGTGCTTTGATTATGCACATTTACAAAATATTGTTGACAACATTGCCCATGCAATGCTGTGATCTATAAATATCGGACACATGTTCAGAGGTTCAAAACCAGTACATAATTGAAAAGATAACGGCAATAGGCCTTATCTCATACTGCAATACAAGACCCATTAACAAGCCAATACCTGTCAAATTCAAACCAATACATATTTATTATATGCATATCAAATACACGTTGGCACCTGGATTCACACAAGCCTTTGATCTTCAAAATAAAGTTCCTCAAGGTGTAGTAGCATTTGCTATACTTTGCTCAAGTAGCACTAAAGCAATCATACCAAAACCAATAAAAAATAAACTTAAAAAGTCAACATATGCCTTATGAATATCATTCAAAACACCCTTGCTAGTAATATCAGTAAACTTTAAGGTGTTTCACTGATTTACGGTATCCCAAGGATATTAGGAAATACAACCAAAATTTAACCAGTGAAAATGGCCATTTTAGGGTTATATGAAGTTCATAAATGTTTTTAAGTATGTCATACTTCTTCATAACAAACTGAACTAGCATGTTAATAACATAAATGGAGTTCAACTAACTTACTCAAAATAAACCGTAAACAAGTAACCAGTAAAAATCCATAAATGTGATATTGATAGAATATGAAGTTTGTCAATAAACCTTAGCAGAGAAAAGAGCTAAAACATGTTACGTTTTTTAATACCATACTTCAATATAACAATCTCGCCCCTCCAGATGACCCGGGGACATTTTAAAAAGCAGTACAAATATAAGTGAAGGTTTTATCAGTATTCAGTCTATTATTGCCCGCCAACAGCATGTTTTAGTGGGACTTATAAACACAAGGCTCAGCATTTTATAATCTCAGATAACCCCCAGAGTCCAAGTGCAAACTTCAAACATGTCAAACTAGAATTTCAAAATACAGTAAAATGTGAATGTGTTACTGGGACCTGATAAAGGTATTCATATCTTGCTATGTTCATATTTATTGGTTTCACTCTATGTCTTGGAATCTTTGCCCTGAGTATATTCATGAATACAGACAGATTCCATCTGTTCCCAAACATTCTGATCTTCAAGTTTCTTTTCTGATACCAAATCTTGGAACTGAGAGAGGGGTAAGACTGGGGTAAGTTAGGATGAAAAGGGATATGTTAATACAACATAGGACACCGACAGGCAAGTCCTGTATCTCTCTCTGCCCCATACTTTCTAGATATTAAAATAAGGCGATATAGGGGTTTGATACAAGACTCACCAACCATTGTTGGGAAAGCACAAATGGTTTGAGGTGGTTTAACACAAGTGTACTTACAAATAGAGTTTTGTCAGGTTTTCGGCATTTTGTCCAAACATAGGGAAGGCAACCAGTTTATTGTCCGATAAATTTCTGAAAAAAGAAACAAATATAAGAAAACATATCCCAATATAATAACTGTATGAATAACTAATGAAATAACAAAAAATAAATATTGATTTGTTTGGTTTTATGTTCAATGTAATATAATAATTATAACACCTGATGTCATGCAAAATTAAGCACATATATTTTATTTGATTTTAATCCATTAATTTTATTTGCTAGTGATATCAGGTTTTATTAGCCAGTCATAAAAAAGTATAGCATTTATCATGAAAAGATAAGGTAGTTAAATAAAGCTCGTGCCAATTAAAAACACCTCGTTACTGCCAGTAACCTTTCTTTCATGCAGATGTTTAAAATTAATAATACTAGTGGCTTTATATTACTTTAACACGCAACATGTATTTTCATCCAATATTACAATATCAGGTGAAAATTCTTTAGAAAAACTTGACAGAATTAATGTTTTTTAAAGTTTTCTTTCACACTCAAACTTGAAGTCTGATAAACATAGAAAACCTCATACAAAAACACCCAGTTGGAAAACTGAATATAGAAAATTGTACATTGTTCAAAATATTAATTTTGATGGTTAACTTGTTTTTTAATTGAATCATATAGGGAATTAAAATAGAAATATTTTGGGTGTTGCTTACATTTCCTTTAGGTTGAAGGCAGGCTTGAAAACTTCAGAATTGACATTAAGGATCTTGTTATTTTGAAGATTTCTGAAATGACAAAAAAACAAGATATAAGTATATGGCATACTTAATAATTCATAATTAAATAAATAATTTATATTAAGATTATATAGCTTAACAACACCTCACTCACAGCTCACAACATTTATACTCATACTCAGCCACATTTGAAAAATGATTTTCTCAAAATAATGAATTCAAAGAAAATCACAAAAACAATGTTCAGGCAAAATTATCAAAGAACATTCAAATGTATATCATGCCACAGTCATATATCTCATCAAGGAACTCTAAGTCTACCAAAATGACTACCACGTCACATCGGAACTATTTTCTTCCTAATAATGACTTTTATGTGTTAATTTCGCCATTTACGCCAAGTGCAAAAATATAATCTCTGGTTTACTAGGCACTAGGGATAGATTTGCGAACACTTTTTAGAGTTATAAATCGTTCCAGGAGACTGATACCTTCAATTTTCATTTGTAAGTGTGATGTAGGTTGAATAATACATGATTAAATAGCCACCATGGTAACACTAACAGAATCACAAACATCTCTACTGAAAAAACTAACTAAGTTTAAAATCGACCATTTTGAAGATCTGATCCAATGTCTAAGACCTCTATACTAAAAGCTGAGTGGGACGCTGTGTGCTATGTTAAAATAAACGTCAATAGAAGGTTTGACCCTCACACCCGCTGCTTTTCAATAAACTATAAACCATAGCCCTGTATACTGATACTATCTCTTTATCGTGTTCATCAATGCCCTACATTCATGCTGTGATGTGCGCTACATACATATGAATACCTTCGGTATGTTTTTTTCAAGGCTGGGATAAACAAAGTAGAAACATTCAATGAATTGAAGTAGAGGAAGACGCATCAAGAAAACTAAGTCAGAATTAGGATTCTACTCGAAAAACAAAGGAAATTGGTGTCGATATTAAGCAAAGAAAGGTGAAAAATTAGTCCAACTGTAAGGCTATTAATCCAATGTATAGGTGTGAGGTATTGCTTTAAAGCACGTTTAAAAACATGTTAACGTATCACCGTGGATATAAAACACAACATTTTCTGAATGGCTACTCTAGTTATGTTTTTGGCTGGTGTTTTTGTATATGAAGAGGTTGGAACTCAGGTGCCGTAGTGTCTTCATCATTAGGGAACCAACTGTGAATTCTGATGAGCAACTTTATGTCTCCACCATATAAAATACTGAATTATTAACGAGTGAGATACTTCCATGTCCTCTTAGTAAATGATATTTAAATAGACAACATTTTTCTTTAAATAGACAACATTTTAAAGATTTAAAACTGATTCCATGTTTCTAAATTTGTCAAATCATAATAATTGCGGAAGTGATTAAATTGAAATGCACTCCCTGTTTTAGCAATGCAATCAAGTTATTGATAAAAATACAATCAAATTAGTGAGTTATTACACAGAAAAAGCTCATGTACAGTAATTCTTAATAATTAATGGCCTTTGTTTCTTGATAACAGTTATAACTAAGGATTATCTCTTAGAAACAATCTCCAAGCAGGGATGTCCCCATCTGAAGTTACTAAGTGCTCCAGAATAAATTGAAGATATGTCACAACTGCATGGAGATTGGAGATCATCACTGTGCATGAGTCAGTAAGAATTGGATGACTGGTCTTATAAAACCGAAGGGTGTATAATTGCAAGCCCAGTAATTAATGAGTCGTGTGCCTAATTACACCCTCAAACAATCAGTTTTGATTACTTTTTAATCATAAAAAATTGCAATTTTGATAATCAGATAATGGCCTTTCAACCATTTGGTGATATTTACATAATAAGAATTTTCTTAAGTCAGCGCAACTATGATTTTTTATGCCCACATTACACTCTGAAGTAAACCAATAACATCAGGAAATTTGATGACATAATTTCAAGTTATTCAGTTTGTTACCCTGCTTAATATTAGTTTCAGATGCTTTAAATAACAGGGTGGTAGGATGGATGTTAGATTGCCCTATCTGACCACACCAGCCTGGTTCATGTACGCTGTCATCCCAAATGGCCTCCATGTATAATCTAATGTGATTTATCACCAAACTAATTAATCTCTTCTTATAAACGGAACATCCTAAAACAACATAAACTCAAGCATCTCCTATACATTTCCCACAATTTAAAACTCTAACAACCATCAATTTCCCCAATTGTGTTACTTTAAGAGCCGCTTCATTTATCGCACCTTTAAACAATTCATTTTTCATGGAGATTCACAGGTAAGTGTTTGTAATCAGAAGTCTGATAGTTAAGAAATATTGATACTGGGAGTGCTACCCACACTACCAACACTATGGCTCCATGCCATACACTGCATACCTCTGTTGTAAATCCTTAGATTATAACTGTGATGAGGATAGAAAAAGAAATGAGACAAATCACAAGGCAGATCCATATTCATGTGAATACAGATATTGGTGTATTAAGTGAGAAACAGCTCAAGGTGTTAGAGTGATGCATTTCGGATGCCTCTTCAAAAGTAAAAATCCCGGCCATAAAATGCTGTGAGCATCTGTTGAAAGGGGAGTTCTCTATAATAAAATATAATGAAACTAGCAGTTTGCAAATGAGAACAGTCAAGCTAGAGATGAAATATGGCAGTTCAGCTGTCTTCAGATGTGTTCCAAATACAGACACAACCTTGCAGAATGTAACACATAAGTTTCTCAGCTGAACCTTACCATTAGAAAGCCAGAATTTTTCACATATTTGTCATGTCAACATTCAGTAAGATATATCATGAGAAAGCCTCACTTTTACACAAATATCCAGATACAAGTCAAGATTCAGTTTAAGATAAACTATTAGAAAGCATTTCTTATACAGAGCTTTACCATTGGAAAGCCTGAATTTTATCAAGACACAATTGGAAAGCCACTCCTTGGAAATCTTATATAGTGATATTCATTTGGAAAGTTAATTCACTCGAACAAAGAACATTTGACTGTTTATTGATAATATTTGTTCCATATGATCAGCAGTAAGGGAACCCACAATTTCAATTGACAACATATTCTCTCAGTATCAAATTCCCAATCATTAAATTCTCAGGTCTGGATTATATTGTTGTTAAGTTTTGATTCTGTCAGGTCAATGTTTATGTTCTGCCTTGCAAAACAAATAACAATTTCTAACTTCCCCATGTATCTAGAAAATACATTGGAACTTCACACAATAGAATCAGGAAACTGACCGTATGTTATATATTTTCTATATTGATTAGTGAAATATAAACTGGTTATTGAAGGACAAACTGCCCCCTCAAATTAAACTATACCATAAGATATCCTTTTATTTAAGATTCACAGGCAAAGCAAGCTTCAGAGCAGTTGTAGACAAACTAGTAGGCCAGGTAAATATTGTGAGTAACTCAAGCTACAGAGAGATATGATATGCTCTAGATTGCTTCCAAGGTCTTCAAAATCATTTCTCAAGTTACTCCAAGTTTGCCTTTCATTGGGATGTCACGTCTTTCAGTTCTTTTCATTCCCTTTGTGGCTTTACAATATATTTCAAGCGAGTATCTGATTTTGTGGTTTTCTATCATCTATTACAGTTGCATTTTTATTGGTTGATTGTTGATCATTTGATTATACCATCCCGCTTGTTTTGTTTAAGTTGCCACTTGATTAGGCTTGATGATTAAATCTAAGAAGGACTCACTGGATACTTTACTATACAAAAAATTACCATGGAAACTGGAATTCTCAGATGGAAGGATTGTTATGACTTCAAAAAACAAAACAATTTGATTGTTAGCACCATTCTGACATAAAACACTCTTCTTCAACTTCTGCTTGGACCAATTTAAACAATAAAGTCAATCACCTTAATCAAAATGCAGAAGAAATCTAATGCAGTATCATATTCGTAAAATCAGAATGAGATGATGCTATTACCTTGTTATCCTACTATCATCCTATCAAGAGAAGAGCTCTTGAATAATTGCATACCCTTTCTAATAATTTCCAATGATTTCATGTAAACTGACTTCATCTTCAGATAGTAAAATGCTATGAGCCACAGGGTTATATATTTTCAGCCTTTACATAGAGAACATAATGAAAGTGCTTTAACAAAGACCTCTTCAAAATTGAAGAATTTGAAGAATTCAAACATCTACCTAAAACACCGAAGTTCCTTTAAAAGGATGAGTTACAACAAGATAATGGTGACATATGATCATAATGAAGCAAATGGAAATTCAGAGCACTCTGCAAAGATTGCATCTCAAGTAAAAAATTTATGTTTAGAAATCATAACATTGCCATTTGTTCAAGTTAATTCCATGTCCCTTCCGAACTTTCAAATATGTAATTTCTGCTTAAAACATTCAAGAGCATTTCACATATTAATTTTTACAAGAACAGACTCTTGCCATTGTCCAAATAGTTCGGATCTGCCAAACAAGGCATGATCACTTGTATTTGTACAGATCTTTATGAGGCCATATCTGTCAGGTGTTCTAAGGACTAATAGCAGTTTTTAATGCATTTCATGCAAATTCTGCTAATTTCAAAGACAACAATATGTTATTTGCGAAGGGTAATAATCTATTACATTGTTCTACCAACCGTCAATCTTAAACCACTGACATATTCTTCAATAAATCTGCATTTAAGACAAGATTGTTTTTTCGCATTATAATATACAGCTCTACAGGAATAGACATTGCACATATTTCATCTGTATATATAGAATAGATTAATGAACCAGAATAAGCATTACGTAAATCTTTAACAAATGCTTATTCTAAACCCGTTACCTGGTAACAAAGTAGATGTTTTGTTATATTTTATCTCTAAAAGTGGAGAAACCTATAGAAACACAAATATGTGTTACGGTAGATATATAAAATCAACTGAACCGAACACTCATTTTAAACCAAATAGCATCTGACAGTCCATATGGAAGCTACAGATACAGCTGGGGTTCAAAGTATATTATATCAAAATGCTCGATGATTGAAAAGTAAATATT